CCCCTTCTTTACTTTATCAGTTTATCTTCTGTTGTTATATTCCTTCTAAATTTTTTATGAAAAAAGGCTTTATCGTGAAATGTCTATATTATCCTTGGCCGAAGGACTAAAGTTTCTTTTGTAGAGTTTACCAATTTTCTCACGTTTGATCATGCTTTCCGTAACCAAGAAGGCTTGTATTAAGTGGTAAGTAATATTTTAGTTTAAATAAGATTTTGAGTTTAAGAGTTTGTATATGTAGTAGTTTTTATTGAGAGATTCATTCAGCATTTTTAAATATGCGACACAGATCGATCCGGATTAGTTAAGATAAAGTCCCGAATACCGGATGAAACCAAAAAGAAATCATGCTTTCCATAATCTTTTTTTGTGCTATATATATATATTTAAAAATATAAAAATTAAGACCTCCTGAGGCATCCTTCACAATCATCCATGGATTCTACCCCTAAGACCCACTCAAAAGATGACTTTCGAATTCTCTAAAAATATTTATAAAAGTTTAGTTAAATTAATATTTATTAATTAAAATTTTTTTGTTTGAGATTAAGAAATTAGATGTTCAAACTTTTGATTTACCAAGTAATTAATTATTTAATGTACCTTTAAAATGTCATATTTTAATATGTAAATTTATTAATTTTAATTTATTTTAATTATTTTTTAATATATTTTTATTGATTTTAATTAATTATATATATACATATATCTTTGAAATAGTAAAGGACAAGAAAAAATATATATTATAAATACAACATAATGTTACAACTGACAAATGAAATCTTTGTTAGGTTTAATTATCAAGATCTATTAGTTGATAAGTAATAACAAAACAATTAAGATTGATTTATCAAATCATCCTAACTGGCTACTTAACAAAAAAAAAAAAAAAGAGCTATAGGCTCAATCAGACCAAACCCACCCTAAATAGAAAATTTTCCATTTTTTAAAGATAATTACAAAAAAAAAAAAAAATTGGTGGTTTCACAAAAATAAGTCCAATTTAGAGTGAGTTAGAAAATTATTTTGAAAAATACTAAAATTTTTAATTATTGCAAATTAGGACTATGTGATTCAAAATTTATCCTTCTCTCCTAATTAAATTCTCGATTTTTTTTTTAGATTTCATTACAAACTTTCTTTTGATTCATATTTCTTTTTTTTTTTCCTTGTTACATAGACAATTTATTACAATTAAAAAGAGAGGGGACAAAAAATGGAGAAGCTATTGATGAAATTTAAACACAACCCCCTAAATGAATGTCAAAGACATAGCTAAATTATTGTACTTGTAGCGTGCATTTTCTTCTTACTCCTATTTCAAGTGAGCAAATTTCCACAAAAATCATCTTAAGAATCTTAATTTATCCTACATATTTCTTAATTATTTGAAAAAAAAATACATACCATATATTTTAAGACGATACTATAGGGGATAACATAAACTATATATACCAAAAAATAATTAAAAAATTTATTCCAAAATCATTTCCCTAAATCTTACCTGAGTCACAGGGACAAACACCGACTGCTCTAACGTCTCCCCTGTTTTAAGCCGTAAATTTAGGAGAGCTCACGTTCATAAAATGGAAATACGCATGAAGCAGCTATTAGTAATAGGCAACAACAAACTCAAATAGTTTAACATATGACAGAAACAGACCAAAATCATTTGGTTGATGGATTATTTAGCACACTTGATGATACTACACCATACAGTAGTTGTTCATGGTTAGTGACACTGTGCGAGTGTTAAAAACAGAGAAAATGCCAGCCTCAAAGCAGTCCATCACGAATTTCCTTCAATTTGGTTTTAATGTTCGTGATGGTTTCAGAGAGCTTCTCGGTACGTGCCTTTGCTTCCTGAATTTGGAGCGATTTTGATTTGTCCTCGCAACCTGCCACCTCTTTCTCCATCTTCTGAATGTCCTGAAGATTTTTATCCTTATCTTCCATCAGGGAGGAACACTGCTTGGCTAATGGTAATGCCTTTTTAACCTCATCTAGCCCTTTCCGAAGCCAGCCAACTTCCACCTTCAGAGATTCAAGATCCTGAACGCTAGTAAACATGGACTCAATCTCAACTTCTGTCAAATGTTCAAAATCAACAGATTGTTGTAGTCTTTGAATGATTCCACACACGACCTCCAACAATGATGATCGGCATTGCATAGATTGCAAGGAACTATTCGTAACAATGTTACCGTGTTTAATAAACACTGCTTTAAGGATCGGTGCCAATTCTTCCTTCACTCTATACTCCGCAACTGAATCAGAACCAACAGCAAGGAATACAATACTACTCGGAGTATTCTCATTTTTCAGATCTTTCTCTCGCTTGTTGATGGCCTTTCCTTCCGGCCTTCTATCCTCTATAGAAGCCATTGAGACTCGTGGTTGGGATACCTGACACAGGCAAATCAGGAGGCAAATCGGGCAATTGTTAAGACTAAATATACAGTAGAGTTAGTAGTTACCAAAAGGAAGTCGAAAAAAGATAAGAAGATTTAACCTTGATCTCTAGAAATTTAATTAGGCCGTCTAGACAAGCTTCATGATCTTTACTCTTCATCAGTTCACCGGCAATCTCAGCAGGGGAAGCTTTAGCATCTTTAATGAGGTCTTCAATACGGGGAAAGAGACGGTGGCTGAAAATGTCCACGTAGGTTGCGGCAAGTTGCTTGAAGGTAGAGAACGTGCAGTAGTCCAAGCAGATGTGCTTGTCCATGCGACCAGCTCGAAGCAGTGCAGGATCAATTCTGTCCTTATAATTAGTAGTGAAAACAAAGATCCTTTCATTTCCACAGCATGACAACAAACCATCTATGGAATTCAGAAGTCCAGAAAGGCTCACCTAAAGAATCACAGCAACACACCAAATTTCCAAGTCACCTTTCAAAAAAAAAATTAAAATTGAAACCAAATTTTAATTTTTAGGAGGGTCGATCCTAGTTTCTCCAGGAATATATTAACAAAGAAACCTGTTTTAATTTGACTGGACTAAAAATTTTTCCTTCCCTTGATTTCCTTAAACCAAACATAGCTTAAAATTATTTAGAAAAAAAGATTCAGAAAATTTTAATTTGGGCTCAATCCAGATTTCAGTTGCGGAGTAAATGAAGAGTCAACATCAAATCAAAAATTAATTGATCATAAATGAAGTAATTTTTCTTGTATTTAACACTTGTTTGGCACCCAACAATCAGTATATGGGTATAACTAACCTGGGCTCGAGGGAAATTATCAGGGAAATCCCCTGCTCCACGGTTCTGTAGTTTGATGGTGCAGTCAACGTCTTCAACAACAATAATGGAACGATTCGACACTCGAAGCAGAAGATCCTCGAGAACGGAATCGGATTTAATAGAAGATAAATTCAAGTTGTAAATGTCAAAGTTGAGATGGTTGGCCATGGCTGCAATCAAGCTTGATTTCCCCGTTCCGGGTGGACCGTACAGAAGGTAGCCACGCTTCCACACCCTGCCAATCTTTTTGTAGTACTCCTTGCCGTCGATAAAGCTGTTGAGGTCCCCCAGTATGTCCTTCTTGAGGTCGCCGTCCATGGCCAGAGTGTCGAAAGTCATCGGATGATCAATGTTGACTGCGCTAGAGCACCACCAGTCGCGCCAGATGGTGTAAAACTTCACAGCTCGGTTTTCATCCCCCAATCGTTTGGCGGTGTCGAGGACGTAAGGGAGGTATTTCATCTTCACCATCTCGGCGTGCTTTTTGTTGAAATGGAGTTCGTACCATCTGGTTTCAGTCTGCCGCTTAGCGTTGGACTCGGTATTGAATTGCCATGTCATGGGAACCCCATGAAAGAAATCCACAACCTTAGAGCTTTTGTCGAGCCCGTATGTCAAATTCCTCGCACTGTCGCTCTTCCCCACCGTGACTCTCTGGGTAGAACTACTACCGGCAGAAGGGGAAGCAGAGACAGAGGCAGAAGTTAAGACATGGCCGCCAAGGTAGGTGGTGGCGGCTTTGAAAAGACGGTTGCTGGAGCCACCGTGGGTTTCTGCGATAACCATAGTGAACTCCAGCGAGAAACGGCGGAAGAGTTTCCTTAAGAAGTCTCGTAGCTCTTTCGGAACCAATTCATTGATGGTGCTACGGAGAATGGTGAAAGTGGCCAACAGGGACAACATGGATGCCATCGCCATACCGTTCGATTCTGGTTGCCGGTGGAGTAGGAGTGCCGATTATATAAAAAAACTCTGTCAAAAGCCTAAAAAAAGTGTGGGCATCAGAGGCAGTGACTTTCTGGGTGAAATTTTGGTTAAAATATTAGTTTGGCCTCTCAATTTTTACAT